CGCTCTTCACTAACACCTCGCCCGCCGCCCCGCACAACGTGCTGTGTACTACGCGCAAAAGATGGCGGCCACCGGCAGCTCCTCGCGACGTATGCTAAAACCCCTTCGTAACTCCCCTTTTACTCCTGTCGGAACGTTCGGGAAAGGTTTTTCGGAAGTAATGGAGAGTTGCGTCACATAGTTATGGGGTGTCACATATGGAGTCATATTTCGCCATCCATTAAGAACTCTTGAAAACTCTTTCGCAAAATGAGGAAGGCTCGAAGTTACCCTAGAACACACTCAATAACTCTGCTGGAAAGGGAGTTACCAATGGTTTTAAAGAGTTTTCAGGGGAGCATTTTCAAGAGTTTTGACCCATATGGAGTCAATTTTTTTCTCAGTGCAGTAGGGGTCCTACCGCACTGAGAAAAATCCTGACTCCGCATAACACCCCCAGGGGGAGTTCACCAAAACGACACCCCAAAACTCCCAGGTGGTACTCCTCATTACACCCCCTCTAAAACTCTCCATTACACCCCAAAACTTCCCTCGAGAAACTCTCTGTAACTCTCCCTACCGTTTTAGAAAACTCTTTATTACTCTCCTTTACCCTATCAAAACAAACAACATACTCCCTGAAACTCCCTTCCATTACTCTCAATGACTCTCCTACTGCCTCATAATTACTCCCGATTACTCCATTCCATGATTCCCCAAAACTCCGTTTACAGCTTCATGGTATACCCCATCAAACTCACCCAAACTTCCCATCACTCCACTCCAGCCCCTCCCCCCGAAAATAAATAGTGGACGAATAGCGTAACCACCCAAAGCTCGTGTACCGTCCGAAGCACAGATAAAAATAGATTTCAAGAAATGTGTATTCATAGTCCGGGGCGGTGGGAGGCTTAAAAAATCAACAAACGCTTTCGACATCCCGCCACGGCACGCTCTCCGGGGATCTCACTCCATATGCTTCACGGTCGCGAGTTTTGATGTTAAGAATCCAAAAGGCGGCCTAACACAGCAGGAATGCTTGGTCTGGTGGTGCCGCTACCCTACCACCTCCTGGGCCTCGACGAATACTGCGTCTTCTTCGTCCGGCTCTCCTTTCACGATGGTGGGATGGATATTTTGCTGGCCTCCGTTGGCTTCGGACGTGTCTTGCGGGATGCGCTGCAGGCTCTCCAGATCATCCCCTGCAAAATGTTAATAACCATGAAATTATAGGTACACTTAACTTTGCGTGGGAGGAAATGGAGGAGAAAGAAAAAAGAGAAGAAGGGGAAATAATGAAGGAGAAAGGGAGGGAAGGAGGGGAGGGATAAAGGAAGGAAGGAAGGAAAACAGGAAGGAAGGGAGGGATAGAGAGAGAAAGAAAGGGAGAGAGAGGGGAGGGAAAGAGGGAGTGAGGAAGGAAGCGAGGAAAGATGGAAGGGAGAAATGAGGGAGGAGACTGAGAGGTAGGCAGATGAGACAAGATGGACGAGACGAGACATACGCGACCTGACGTGTTGGCACTGATACTGCATTTCGGCACATGATGTCAAAATAATGAAAGCAAGAGATTGCAAAGTTAGCATACTTTTTATGCACTACAATTTTGATAAAGTTAGGTTTCAGTGAAAGTCTAAAGGGCAAGTTAACAGCCTCCATCTTAGTTGCAGACACAGTAGGGCAATGCTATAAAACGTACCTACTTGAACGCTCAAAAAGTTGAGCAGGTCGCTAAAAATAAGCTAAGGACGTTATACGCTGCATAGGTAACCATGTTAACATTAAAGAACGAATTCAATTATGAAAACTTTCTAAAAACATACAACAATTTAGACAAAATTTATTTAAACATGCTGGTTTGTCGGTGGTTTTCATCATTCAGCAGTGGCAGTGGTAGGTAACTGATTTTTTTTTATATATGTAGGGGCTAGAAAAATCAAGGCTTTTATGCCAAGATAGTTTTATTTTCTGGCTCTCCTTTGCAAGCCCTTCAAATTTGATATTTGTCATTGGTATAGATATTAAAATAATTGGGCAATAACAATAGGATCCATAACGTGTAAAGCTTGTGTAATCCTAACTTTCCAATTTATTCAAGGGAAATAATGTACCTAGAAACTCAGAGCATGCTGTTTCCGATCTTTATCTCACTCAGGAACAATACAAATCAATTACCCAATTACAGAGACCATTCCAGCCCATCAAGAACATGCGGTTACCATATGTTCTCATCACAGCATTATAACACTTTGCACTATAAAAGCATGATAAGAAATACGGCTAAGCTTACCTTTAAATCCAAAGTAAGGTCCAATTATCCGTCACTGTATATAGGTCAGGTCCGTCAAGTCAACACGCTCTTCACTAACACCTCGCCCGCCGCCCCGCACAACGTGCTGTGTACTACGCGCAAAAGATGGCGGCCACCGGCAGCTCCTCGCGACGTATGCTAAAACCCCTTCGTAACTCCCCTTTTACTCCTATCGGAACGTTCGGGAAAGGTTTTTCGGAAGTAATGGAGAGTTGCGTCACAGAGTTATGGGGTGTCACACATGGAGTCATTCCGCCATCCATTAAGAACTCTTGAAAACTCTTTCGCAAAATGAGGAAGGCTCGAAGTTACCCTAGAACACACTCGATAACTCTGCTGGAAAGGGAGTTATCAATGGTTTTAAGGAGTTTTCAGGGGAGCATTTTCAAGAGTTTTGACCCATATGGAGTCAATTTTTTTCTCAGTGTATACCTCTAGTTAGTCCCCATCAGACTCACCCAAACTTCCCATCACTCCTCTCCAGCTCCCCTCCCCCCGAAAATAAATATTGGACGAATAGCGTAACCACCCAAAGCTCGTGTACCGAAGCACAGATAAAAAAATATATTTCAAGAAATGTGTATTCATAGTCCGGGGCGGTGGGAGGCTTAAAAAATTGACAAACGTTTTCGACATCCCGCCGCGGCACGCTCTCCGGGGATCTCACTTCATATGCTTCACGGTCGGGAGTTTTGATGTAAAAAAAATCCAAAAGGCGGCCTACCACAGCAGGAATGCTTGGTCTGGTGGTGCCGCTACCACCTCCTGGGCCTCGACGAATACTGCGTCTTCTTCGTCCGGCTCTCCTTTCACGATGGTGGGATGGATATTTTGCGGGCCTCCGTTGGCTTCCGACGTGTCTTGCGGGATGCGCTGCAGGCTCTCCAGCTCATCCCCTGCAAAATGTTAATAACCATGAAATTATACGTACACTTAACATTGCGTGGGAGGAAATGGGGGAGAAAGAAAAAAGAGAAGGAGGGAAATAATGAAGGAGGGAGGGAGAGAAGGAGGGGAGGGATGAAGGAAGGAAGGAAGGAAGGAAGGAAGGAAGGAAGGAAGGAAGGAAGGAAGGAAGGAAGGAAGGAAGGAAGGAAGGAAGGAAGGAAGGAAGGGAGGAGGGAGGGAAGGAAGGAAGGAAGGAAGGAAGGAAGGAAGGAAGGAAGGGAGGGAGGAAGGGAGGGAGGGAGGGAGAGAGGGAGAAAGAAAGGGAGAGAGAGAGGGGAGGGAAAGGAGGGAGTGAGGAAGGAAGCGAGGAAAGATGGAAGGAAGAAATCAGGGAGGAGACTGAGAGGTAGGCAGAGTTTAATTTTCTGGCTCTGCTTTGAAAGCCCTTCAAATTTGATAATTGTCATTGACATGGATATTAAAACAATCGGACAATAACAAAGGATCCATGACGTGTGCCTAAAGCTTGTGTAATACTTACTTTCCAATTTATTCGAGGGAAATAATGCATGACATTTGCCAATACCTAGAAACTCAGAGCATGCTGTTTCCGATCTTTATCTCACTCAGGAACGAAACAAATCAGTTACCCTTACTGAGACCATTCCAGCCCATCAAGAACATGGGGTTACCATAAGTTCTCATCACAGTATTATAACACTTTGCACTATAAAAGCATGATGAGAAATACAGCTAAGCTTACCTTTAAATCCAAAGAAAGGTCCAATTATCCGTCACTGTATAGGTCAGGTCCGTCGAAGGCAACACGCTCTTCACTAACACCTCGCCCGCCGCCCCGCACAACGTGCTGTATACTATACGCGCAAAAGATGGCGGCCACCGGCAGCCTCGCGACGTATGCTAAAACCCCTTCGTAACTCCCCTTTTACTCCTGTCGGAACGTTCGGGAAAAGTTTTTCGGGAGTAATGGAGAGCTGCGTCACAGAGTTATGGGGTGTCACACATGGAGTCATTTCGTCATCCATTAAGAACTCTTGAAAACTCTTTCGCAAAATGAGGAAGGCTCAAAGTTACCCTAGAACACACTCAATAACTCTGCTGGAAAGGGTGTTATCGATGGTTTTCAGGAGTTTTTAGGGGAGCATTTTCAAGAGTTTTGACCCATATGGAGTCAATTTTTTTCTCAGTGCGGGTATTCGTAGTAGGCGTCAACCGCCTCTGACACCGCCTAGGCTAGGTGTAAAATTGATTAACGCTAGGGTACTGAAAGTTTGTCGCGATCGGTCGCTTTTTAACCCGCGCGGGGCTGGGGTCTCCAGCCGAACGCGCGGGGCGGGGGGGGAGGGGTAAATTTTACCCCCCCCCCTGTTATCTCCCGAACTAATGGTCCGATTTGGAAAATTCGAGCGCCAATCGAAAGATCTCATCACGACCAACTAAAATCATGTACTTAATTTAAAGTTTGAGGTCAAGGTCAAGGTCAGGTCAAGGGTACAAATTGCAAGTTTCTACCGTATCGGCCTTGCACCGTAGTTGCCGAAGAATGGAGTCATGGACTGAGACTGATTGCCCAAAATGTGTTCTTAGGCTACCAAGACAATATTCGTTGCCTACAATATCATTCAGAGGTCAAGGTCAAGGTCAGGTCAGGTCAGGTCAGGTCACCAAAAACAAAATATAGAAAAGGGCATGTGCGACACATGTTTTATGGGTCATTTTACTCATAGAATTCAGTAGGCGCACTCAATAAGTGATATGGACCACCTCTGGATGAATTTCAGGTCGAGGTCAGGTCAAGTTCAGGTCAAGTGAGGTCAAATTTTGATGTTGGTTATTAAGGCCTAAAAAGGTGTCTATCTGATGCAGTTTTTCACGGCGAATCGAATGGTGCTATTCTTGTTTCCGTACGAGGTCTAGCACTTCCAAAAAATTCATTTTTCATTTTTTTTTTGTGTGTCGTGACGTCATAAAATTTTGAATAACTCCCACATTTTCGAACCGATTCTTCTAAAAATTGGTATGTAGGTGCACATAGACGACTTCTCTGACATATATTCCGGTTTTTTCGATACACCCAAAATTTTGGATTTTATAACTATTTTCCCAAAAAAGTCAGTTAAAAAAAAATCGGCCAAAATCCAAAATTTTCAAAAAAACGAGATAGCCATTTCATAGACAAAGTAGAAAGACGTATAACCTTTTTGTTACGTCTTGATTCCTTAAAAATAAGGATGTTAGCGGCGTTTGAAATTTTGCCGTTTTTGAGGCGAAAATGGCGAACATGACGTCACTAAAACGTCCATTTCTCAAAAAATGTTCCGACGGATTTCGCTCAAATTTTTAGGAAACGTGTCAAATTTATGTAAGAAAAAGTACTGAAAGTTTGGCGGCGCTGCGCGCCGCCGTTTTTGAGATATTGCCAAAATTCGAGGGGGGGGGGGGGGTAAAATTTACCCCCCAGCCCCGCGCGGGTTAAGCGAAGTATTTGCGATAAACCTAAGATGAACCCAGATGATAAGGGTAAAACTACTGTATGAATCATTCCCGCTACTGTGGCGATGTAGGTAAAAGAGTGTTTACTGTGTGTAAACACATTATTGCTCTTTTTAGCAGAGTGAAGTCCGTATAGACCATAGGGGCACCTGGCGGATATGTATCATTGCACACGTTAGCTGCATGAAGACATTTCCACTCGGTTTTCCTGTTTTCTACATATGACCTTGTGATGAAGTGGCTGACCATACCGATGATCCGCCGCGATGTTTGTTGTGGCCTTTTGGTTTGACACGTATTTTCTGTATTTTCAGAGTTTCCCGCTCTGGTCCATCCAGTATAGCGTGTTTGAGGCTGGCCGATGACACCGTGACTGGACCCGCGGTGACCTGACCTGACCTGTGGAGAGAAGCGATGACCTCCAACGGTGACCTGAGGTCGGGAACCCCAAACGGCGCCCCTGAAGTCACCGACGGAGCAAACAAACACACTGGGACGAAGGAGGAACAAGTCTGGTGGGTAAACTCCGCTCAGAGGTGTAACGTCTGCCTGCCTGCTTCTGTTTCTGTCTCTGTCTCTGTCTCTGTCTCTGTCTCTGTCTCTGTCTCTGTCTCTGTCTTTGTCTCTCTCTGTCTGTCTGTCTGTCTGTCTGTCTGTCTGTCTGTCTGTCTGTCTGTCTGTCTGTCTGTCTGTCTGTCTGTCTCTCTCTCTCTCTCTCTCTCTCTCTCTCTCTCTCTCTCTCTCTCTCTTTCTTTCTTTCTTTCTTTCTTTCTCTCTCTCTCTCTCTCTCTCTCTCTCTCTCTCTCTCTCTCTCTCTCTCTGTCTCTCTCTCTCTCTGTCTCTGTCTCTGTCTCTGTCTCTGTCTCTGTCTCTGTCTTTGACTCTGTCTGTCTGTCTGTCTGTCTGTCTGTCTATCATCTGCCTGCCTGTCTGTCTCTCTTCCCCCCCTCTCTCTCTCTCTCTCTCTCTATCTCTCTCTCTTTCTCTCTCTCTCTTCTCTCTCTCTCTTTCTCTCTCTCTCTCTCTCTCTCTCTCTCTCTCTCTCTCTCTCTCTCTCTCTCTCTCTCTCTCATCTCCCGTAAAGGGGAAACATCTCGCCACAGCATACATAGTCGTCCCGGGTTATCACCGAGCCTCTAAGCCCACTCATACTCTCCACCCCAGCTTCTCTCGCCTCCCTTCCCCTCCCCTTCCCTCTCCCCTCCTTCCTTCCAGTCCTCCTGAGGTCTCCCTTCCACCCCTCCCTCCCTCTCCGGCTCCCAAGAAGACGATCTGGGCAGAGGGTATGACAGCCGCTATGGGAATATGGCAGAGCGGAGGGAGTCACCATAGTTGACGTTTTAGGTCGCTATGAACTATAGCAAACGCATTACGGTGGTGATAATATAGGGCAGTGAGCAGATTTGTTCGCTCAGATATCGAAATGTTCGCTGCGTTATGTCTGACAGTGGGATGATTTGTGTGATGTCAGCTCTCTTTACGACTGTGGTTACCTGCCGGTCACGGTCAAATGTCTGGAGCAGATCGTCCGGGCTCCATATGTGGGTTGTATGGCCGCCTTACTAGGAACCTGATGCGACAGCCTGCAGTGAAATTATCCATTGCTGTGCGGTTTCATGAACTGAAGATGGACCGATTCTATTTTATTTAACCAGTGTTGGCCCGCTGTTACCAGTTGACTGAACGGCTGAAAGTTCATCTAAGCATGATTGAAACAGCTCTGCTTCTTCTTTTCACGGAAATTACCTGACGTTAGTGTATGTTTTGGCAGTGGTATCTTGTCTTGGTCAACCATGTTTGTTGTAAAAAAGCATTGATATTATAAAAATAGCGAGATCCACATAACCTAGGCCGTATCATCTTGATTTCAGGCCCGAAGCGGGTGACGTTCAAGCTCGAGTCTGATTCTGCGCCGAGAGATGTCGCTAGTGACGGGGAGGCGGACACGGCCGACGGCATGCCATCCTGGTGGCCGAAGGCACCCTCCCCGGCCTCAACAGTGGAAAACTCGCCCTTAGCGACATCGCGACCGCCGCCGACCGTGGTCGTCTCGCCTCCGACCGTGACCTTGACGACATCAGCTGACCCTGGTCTCTCGCCGCTGGCGCTGAGAGGAGGTGCTCCTGTGGCGGGCGGGATGTTCTACCCTAACGGTGGCACGTCTCCGCGGGTGTCGTCACCCCCGCCCGAGGGCAACGGGCATCGGGGGATCGTGTCACCTCCTGCACCAATCAGCGTGCAGAGCCGGCCGGCTCCACCAATGGGAAGTCACGACCCGCGCAGGGTAAACTCGCCTCCACCATTAGCAGCGCAGACTCGCCAGCCCACACCAGTAAGAGTCATCCACCGAGGTCCAGCTCCGCCCACCACGTCCTACGTCAGCAATTTACCCACCAATCAAAAGCAGTCAGCACAAGATGCCTCGATGCCGGACTGGTGGCCCAAACAGCATGTCAGTGACAGCCGACCGGCTGTCAGTGACACCCGACCGGCTACCTCTCGTCAGGTGGACCTCCCGCCGGAGGAAACTCCAGCTCCAAATCCTGCAGGAAGAGGTGCGGTTCCGCAGCTGAACAGGCACCAGCCGGAACCTGAGTACTACGACAACACCTCGCCAGAGTGGCAGGCGAGGAACGCGACGTCCTCCCAGTCCCTCTCCAGCCACAGTCCTGCCCCTGCCTCGTCCACGACGTCTGGCGCTGTCCAGATCCCCAGCTCGGCGCCAAAGCTCCCCATCTCGGCGCCAAAGCTCCCACTCCCTCTGCCCGCGAGACCGGGGGATCGTGATCCAATGACGTCACCTCCGCAGGTGCCGAGCCGGCCCGGGGACCGTCCAGCTGCTCTGGACAGGTCTCTCGCAGACACCGAACAGCACGTCGCCAGGGTGGTAGCCCAGGCGAACCAGGGCTTCCTCCAGTCGGCAAGAGATGTCGCTAGTATCGAGCCGACCCTGTCGGTACCGCCACCTGACCTGGACTTTACCCACCCCAGTGAGGAGGACTTCTGGAATATGTCGCCTCGGCATGCTCAAATGACGTCATCCGGCGGTGATGACGTCACGAGGCGACTGGTGACGTCAGAGGCCACCCAGACAGAGGGAGACCCTCTGCTGGATTCAGACGACACCTGGAGTCGACTGCTGGAGGCTGTGGCGTCTGGAACTCATGACGAACCGGCAGATGGGTCTCCCGGACTGCGCAGTCGGTACACGGACACCCTGCGCAGTCAGTACAGGGACACCCTGCGCAGTCAGTACAGGGACACCCTGCGCAGTCAGTACGGGGACACACTGCGCAGTCGGTACAGGGACACCCTGCGCCGGCGTCCTGACACAGACGCTGCTGCCCAGCGGCCAATTCTTCCACAGGGAGAGTGTCAGCCTCATGAGAGGCTGGCCAGGCAGCAACAGGAGCTGGAGTCTCTGGAGCAGCAGCGACGACAGCAGGCGGGAGAGGAGCAGCAACAGCGGCGGGAGCACCAAGTAATTGAACAAGACAGACACGTAGATTGTTCACAACGCCAGGAACAGGTATTTGTGGGGAAGCGATATAATGAGAGGCGACTGTACGAGGAACAGCAAGTAGTTGAACAACGAGATCACGAAAGGAGAAGATATGACGAGCAGGAATGGTTACAGAAGCAGGAGGAGGAAAGGCATTGGCATGAACAAGAACGGAGAAGGCAGCAAGAAGATGAGCAAAGACAGAAGCAAGAACATCAACGACTGCTGCAAAAGCAAGAAGATGAAAGACGAAGACAACAGCAAGAACGAGAAGAAGAGGAACGTAGACTTCAATATCAACAATACCTCCAAAGGGAAGAGGAAGAAAGGCGAAAAAGGGAACATGAAGCGTATCTCAAACGACAAGAAGAGGAAATTAGACGGAAACAGGAGGAAGATGAACTTAGAATGAGAAGGGAAAGGGAGGAAAAAGAGCAGATAATGAGGAAGCAGAAAGAGGAAGAAGAACAAAGGCTGCTGAGGCAGAAAGAAGAGGAAGAGAAAGAGAGATTGGAGCAACTCCGTCGTCAACGTGAACAAGAAGAAGAGCAACGTCAGCAGGAGCTTCAGGAGCAACGTCAGCAGGAGCTTCAGGAGCAGCTGCAACGCGAGCTTCGCAACCAGCACCAACAGCAGTGGCGTCGAACGCAGCAGGACCAGCAGGTGCGGCGCGAGCGGGAGCTGCGTCAGCAGCAGCAGCAGCTCCAGCAGGAGCGTCAGCAGGCGCGGCAGCAGCAGCAGCAGCTAGCCGCTGACTGGAGGCGCCCCGCGGAGAACACGTCGCCGCCTGTGGCCGGTCTGCGCCGGAACGTGTCTCTGCGGGAGTCGAGCCGCGCGGGCGATCTGGCGCGGCGGGCGGGTCGAGTCTGGGACGAGGAGGCCGACTGGCTCCGCCGGGAGATCGAGGAAACCGACAGACCCGACTTCTCGCCCGTGACACAACAGAGAGGCGACAGCTACGAGCGCACCAGGGTGTACAGCGAAATGAAGACGGCAGCAGCCACTAGCAGGGGCGGAGCGCACGTACGACATAACTCTACCCATAATCAAACGTTTGCGCAGATAGATATGTCGGTGAAGCGACCAGAGAGCTCCATCTCTGGAAGATCCGAGCCACCACTGTACCGAACCTCTCCAGCTCCGCATTCTAACGAAACTAGCAGAGCCTTCGACTCCCGCCAGGGACACGGTCAGAGGCGGGCCTCGTTCCAGCAGAGCTTCATGTCTCCGCCGCCAGGGGGCTACCTTCCTCCGTCGTCGCCCTCCAAATCGGACCCGGGCTGGTGCCGCGGGGAGGATAACGACTCGGGCCGCAGTTCACCGAACCCTCTAGACGACGAACTCGAGATCTGCCTGAAATCCGTCGAGGAAGCCATGGCTTCCCTGCAGAACTCGGTCCAGAAGAGTACCGCGCGACCGGAAACAAGTAGCGCCACGCCGCGGCCGGAGCTGAACCGGAGTTTCGAGGTGTCGCCGGCAGGTGGCGGCTCGAGCGGTGACTGGCGCCGTCGCAGCTGTGATGGCGCGGAGCTGGAGACGTTCGGCAGTAGCAGGAGCTGGGACAGAGCGGAGGAGCGGGACAGAGCGGAGGGCGCTAAGGGAGCCCAGGTAAGCAGCGAGGACTCAGCTAATAATCTAGCACCACCGCCTTTATGTCCTGCTAAAATGGCACCGCCAACGCTTCTTAGCCTTCAAACTGGGTGCTTGCTTTTCTACGGCGTCATTGTGCTGCTTATAAATATATCCGCAAAGCAGAGCATATTGAGTTTTAGATTGATAATGCTTTTGCAGAAAGGATAAGTTTGTTACAATATCATCTGATTAGGCAAATAAAAAGTCGTTTTGTATCATGCTATGAGCGTATCGTCAGTAACTCGCATTAAACACAGAGATAATATTGTTTGTGTTATTTTTAGATAGCAGTTGACCACTCAATATTTCAATACCTAATCATGAAAAAATGACTTCTGGCAGAACTGAATTGTCAAGTCGGTAACAATAGCCCAATCCACCTGAATAACGCAGTGCTGAAGCGAACGTTAAAAGCTGCACGATATCGGTCAACAAAATTGATGTAGGCCTTACTTGGTTTTACTCTGGTTAGCTCCGGGACCTACTCTGGCCGAATTACGGGCATGGTCCAGAGTTCGACCAGATCTCGCTCGCACCACAGCCGGACTTATGCCGCATCAGCCATGCCGTACCTCAACCGTACTTCAGCTACAGTAGGCCAGAGCAGTGACGAGGCAGCCGGACCTGGCCGTAGCACGCTGTGGCAGGGAGCCGGACTTGAGCCAGACTTGGCTGTCCGAAACCATACCAACCACAACAACCAAATTTCTGGGTAGTATTGTGCTGCTACCATGTGCATGCCTTTGAGCTCTGCCCTTGTGATTTTCAACTGCCTCAAGGTGGTCAAGTAGCCTTGTATTCGAACCAAAATTGGGACAAAACCCCAATCCATAATAACGATTGGCCATCCGGTTTTAGGAACTGCGGCCCTGTGGAGTGCTGCGACCGCTGCAGCACCACGCCCGCCATCTATGGACGGCGGCGGAAAACACTAGTTCTAACTGGACCCGCTTGGTGATCGGCGACTGGCTTCTGGGTGCCCCCGATGACCGACATGTAAGCCGACCTATCCACTCCTGCTCCTCTCTCTCTCTCTCTCTCTCTCTCTCTCTCTCTCTCTCTCTCTCTCTCTCTCTCTCTCTCTCTCTCTCTCTCTCTCTCTTTCTCTTTCTTTCAGTTTTCTTCACACCCCTTATTCACACTTGGCAATAGGTACCTATGAATGGAACAAACATTTTAAATGATTTGGTAGCATTGCAATTTGAGAAATCTATTATTTTTTTCCTATAAAAAACATGAATATTTTCTCGGGAAGACGTGATGGTGTTCCAATTTGCACAATCTTGTTGCTTGCGCATTCTTTCTATGTTTCACCATATCACTTGCTCCTATTACCAAAGCCAAGCGATTATTTTGCATGCTTTCTTCCCTCCTGTCTAGAACAATATGGAAGTCCTTGAGCCACTTCACGGCGGCAGCACACCTACTAACTAACTAACACCAAATCCGCGCCTAATCATGAATCAATTCGTGTGTGTCAAATGTGGTAGGTAGATGATTTTGAATGTGTGTGTTTTTTTTAAACAAGCTAAGATGCTTTATCAAAACTATAGTTAACCCGCGCCCCGAAGGGGGAGGACCGAAACGACCCCCCCCCCTGTCCCTTTCCGTCGATATCTCCTAAACGGCTGCAGATATCGCCACCAAACTTTCAGGGCACCTCCGGGCTTCAATTTTACACATTGTGATTAAAACTTGTTCCAGAGGCTATGATAGGTCGGCCACAAATGACGTCAGAATGACGTCATGTTCTGCCATTTTTGACCGAAAAAAGAGCTTCGCGAAGAGAGCTGTCAGGCCTAACAGCTTTGAAGATACAAAAAATGATCCGTAAATAAATGGTGTAGAATTAACAGGGCTTCAAAACTGTTTTCTCCTATTTTTGAAATTCTTGAGTTTTGACCCCCCAAAAATAAAAAAGTATTTTGTTTATAGTTTGCCCAAAAACCCATAAAGTTTTTTTTTGAGTTTCGAAAAAATAACGGAATATATATGATAGTACCTACCGCATTCTATCTACATACAAAATTTGAGATCGACATCTCTTTTTTGGCCACGTTATAGCGAAGAAAACTGTTCAAAAATGATGACGTAAGATTTCAAACTCATTTTTTGGCAATTCTATACCAACCACGTACGGCAAAAAAGACCACCATTGGACTCCCCGTGACGAGCTGCATCGAATTGATACCCATTGTATACAAAACTATCAACTTTGAAATTCGACCTAATTTGACCTGACCTTGACCTGACCTTCACCAGAACGTAACTTAAGCTGCCCCAAAAGGCTGCCTGACCCACATAATCGCATTTGGCATGTAAAATGGACCATAAAACATGTATCACACGACACTTTCATATTGTGACCCCAGTGACCTGACATCTGTGACCTGACCTGGTATCAGTGACCTCAGATAGCGAAGTATGTGTTTGACGAACAATGTATCATCGATGGTTTTCAATAACTTAACCAATTTACTCGATTTCACAGCACATTTCTTGAAATGTATGTGAACAGTGAAAATCCGACCTTTGACCTGACCTGTTACGTCATCGGTTTGGCCTAGGTTAATGATATTTGGTCACAAGATAGTTTACCGGTGGCGCTATCGAACGCCGTTTGAATTTTGAAAATCGTCCTGTAAATTTAGACGAAACACCCCCTCCCCCTACGGGTGGTAGGACCCTCCGATAGCCCTACGGGGCGCGGGTTAACAAATAACCAATGGTTGTTTCGTTTGATACGGGGGCGGGACCCACCTACCTATCGGCCGCTTTACATGGTCAATGATTTTGTTTTGTGTCTTTGCATTGTTATATTTCAATGGTTTATTTTAATATTTTATTGGTTTTGTTCGAAAAAAACGAGTACCTACATTTGCTGTATATGTATTTTCTCGATTTAATCCCGGAACACACCATCACTTTTGCCGAGTGCCAAAGGCTGTATTTTTAGTGAAAATGATATGCATTTTACTGATTGTTTGAATTGGTTCCCACAGCAGGAGTCAGGGGCTAACAAGCTCTATTTTCGTTTTGCTAGTGTGCACTGAGTTTATATTGGGTTGCGTCTTGCGATATATCATGTTTTTAATAGGGTTTTCTTTCAGCGTTTACAAATCATTTCAATGTGTATAGATTATTTCCCTAACTCTGCCCGCCTCTCTCCAGCCCCAGGAGGTCCTCTCCCGGCAGATTGCTCTCTGGGAGGGCCAGCCGGAGACCCCGGGTCCCGACTGGCGCCAGAGGGGTCTCCGAGAGCCCCCGGAGAGGCCCCAGAGCGGGGCGCAGCAGAGGGCCCTCGGAGGGACGCAGCAGAGGGCCCACGGAGGGTCTCAGGAGAGGGCCCTCGGCGGGCCTCAGGAGAGGGCCCTCGGATGGCCGCAGGATAGGGCCCTCGGAGGGTCGCACTACCGGGGAGATAGAGATCCAGGTAAGTGCTCTCAGAGAAAGCTGGCTGACGGCAAAGAAATCGTGATTCGATCGTGTAACAGTTACAATAGAGTCATCCGAGATCATTGAATACATTGTTGGAAATGCGAATGCATTTTCATAAAAAGTGATTGAGCGGAACTGTGCTACCACATATTTGTAGCGGTAGCAGTCTGTAGCTCTATGCTTGCATTGACATGTTTTTTTTGCCTTGTCTAAAATTCGGTATCAGGCCGACATTTTACCTATGTTGGTGTTAACTGTTTAGGTATAGGTATGCACTTACCTATACTTGTTTACAGAGTCTGAGGAGAGTTTTTGTTTGTGTTCATATCTGTGCGTGCTTACATAATATGAGGAGCGGTCTTTAGTTATGACCTTGCATGATTGGTTTGACGTGTTTATATATCTATTTTCAGAATCTGAGGAGCATTCTCAAGTGGACAGCCAGATTAGCCGCATCGGCCGGGAAAGTCGACAGAAGCACCGGCATATCACAGACAGGGTCAGTGGTGGGAACACCATATCACAGACAGGGTCAGTGGTGGGGAACACCATATCACAGACAGACAGGGTCAGTGGTGGGAACACCATATCACAGACAGACAGGGTCAGTGGTGGGGAACACCATATCACAGACAGGGTCAGTGGTGGGAACACCATATCACAGACAGGGTCAGTGGTGGGGAACACCATATCACAGACAGGGTCAGTGGTGGGAACACCATATCACAGACAGACAGGGTCAGTGGTGGGGAACACCACATCACAGACCGGGTCAGTGGTGGGGAACACCATATCACAGACAGGGTCAGTGGTGGGGAACACCATATCACAGACAGGGTCAGTGGTGGGAACACCATATCACAGACAGGGTCAGTGGTGGGAACACCATATCACAGACAGGGTCAGTGGTGGGGAACACCATATCACAGACAGGGTCAGTGGTGGGAACACCATATCACAGACAGGGTCAGTGGTGGGGAACACCATATCACAGACAGGGTCAGTGGTGGGGAACACCATATCACAGACAGGGTCAGTGGTGGGAACACCATATCACAGACAGACAGGGTCAGTGGTGGGGAACACCACATCACAGACCGGGTCAGTGGTGGGGAACACCATATCACAGACAGGGTCAGTGGTGGGGAACACCATATCACAGACCGGGTCAGTGGTGGGAACACCACATCACAGACAGGGTCAGTGGTGGGAACACCATATCACAGACAGACACACTGTAAAAAAAAAACTTACAAGCCCCTCGTAGAGGAATTCTCAGCGCAAAAATAACATTGCAGGAGCGTGTAAATTTGGCTAATTTTAGGCTAGTTGCCGAGTAACAAGCTTGTTCGACAAGGCTGTGCCTCGTATGCATACGACCACCGTGCTCCACCTAGTTTGACAACACGCCCGTAAATAGCGTGGGTAGTGCGTCTACTAGGTGTCATAACAGCCCCTGCCTGGTAAGGTAACTAGCCACTGCCTACTAATCCATACCCAGTAATGGTACTAGCCCCCAAGGCTAGTATTGGTACTAGCTCAAGGCCAGTAGTGGCACTAGTTAACTAATACCACTACTGGCCTTCGGGGTCGGGGCACTGGGTCGACGGAATTCCGTCGACGGAATTCCGTCGACCAGTGCCCCCGACTCTCGACCGCCACCCGCCAGTAAACAGACTGAGTAGCGCTGCAGCACATTTATTCGGGCACGAGAACGAGAACGAGAACAATAACAACGCCAGGACAATAACTATAACTTTAACAACAACAACAACAACAACAACAACAACAACAACAACAACAACAACAACAACAACAACTAACTGAATAATTTTCAATAAGGTTTCTTAAATAACCACCATCAAACATTTGTGATTTTTTCATTAGCTCTGCACCGGCGGCAGTCGCGGGGTGCAGGTAGGCCAGGACATTGGCCCCATTCTTTACCAGAGAAGTCTGTAATGGGTGAAAAAACGAATATTAACATTATTATTATCATAAGGCATCCCAATCTGGAAAATGATTAAATTAAAGTTGAATAAAGTGATAGATTCCTGCCACAAGCTAGCTTAAGTCCAAAACAATATAGCTATTCTGACTTGGATAGACGATACCGGCGCACTTCTGCCAACGACGGGCAAACATTATGCGATACTATACATCTTCTAGCTCAACAACATAATAACTTTTGTTTACAAATGGACAACCTTTTTGTTGAGCACACAGCAAATGATACAAGATGCCTCACCTTCAATCAAGCCAAAGAGCAGTTGGGCAGACACACACAGTAATGGCGACGCAACACAAAATGGACGCCGGCTCCCGGAAGCGGGGGGGGGGGACTCCTTCTGAAACCAGCCACAGACTCCTAGGTTGTAACATGCGACGAGGATTTTTTATTTATTTTTATTTATTTATTTATTTGTTGCACATCCTTCCATGCAGGCATAGTTGTTTCAGGATGGCACATGATCAGGGAACCACTATGCACAATGCACATGCACTTTCCTCGAGCCGCGTTCGAGTTCACTAAAGAGGAGAAAAAGAAAAAAACAGGACCAAGGCAACACTTTAGACCACTTCAGCATCAAACTACACATTTCGTGGTGGCCTGATCGCCCGCTTAAAAGCAAATATGCTGGACATGCCTTGGATCTCTCGGGGCAGCCGGTTCCATGCCGAGCCAGCCCTGTACATGAAGTGTTTTTGAGTGGCAATAAGCCGCACTTTCGGTAGGTGCACCTGCGCTGTATCTGTCAGGCGCGTGTCACGAGTCGCCACATCACATCGACGTTTGTACATGTCTTGTACCACGATTGGTGCATGGGGATCGCAGATTGCGCGGTGCACCTTCAGTCGATCACGCTCCTCCACCAGCTCGCCAATCCGTGACCAGTGGAGCGACTTAAGAACTGGTGTGATGTGATCACGGCGCTTCGAACCGGTCACCAAACGAGCCGCAAAGTTAATCATTTTTTGCAGTCGTTTAAGTTCTTTGTCGGCAGCTCCGCCCCAAACTGGTAAGCAGTAGATAATTTGAGGGAAGATATGAGCTTTGATAATAGTAAGCAGGGCCTCGGTAGTGAAGCTACGCCTGAATCTGTAAAGCGAAATCAATATGCTGTAGCACCGGCGCACAACTGATGAGATGTGTTGATTCCATGTTAACGTCTGGTCAACAGTTACACCAAGAAGTTTGATCGTTTTTGAAGAATGAAAGGTTCTGTTTGAGAACGTGAAAGCGAAACCAGATGCTTTTTGAAGCGAGTTTCTGGTGCCAAGGAGGATGAAATCTGTTTTTGATGCATTCATTTTTAGAGAATTACTTCTAAACCAGTTTTGAACGGAAGCCATAGACTTTTCTATGCGCTTTCTGAGCTGTGACAAACTCTCACTGTCTGGCGGCGAGCTGTCGAGGAGCTGCGTGTCGTCCGCATAGCAAACCAAACGGCCGTAGGGAAGATGTCCCGGAAGATCTGCCACAAATACGCTGAACAAAATAGGTCCCACAATAGATCCCTGAGGAACACCGAAGTTCACAGGACAGATCTTGGACCCACCTCGTACCATTTGCCCCCGTCCGCTTAGGTAACTGTCGAACCAATGTGAAGGCACACCCATCCATGCCATTTTCTTCAAGAGGATGCCGTGGTCAACACTGTCGAAGGCCTTACTGAGGTCGATCGTCGTTATCGACGTGAGCTCACCGTTGTCGATCTTATCAACGGCCCACGATACTGCGTCGAGTACGGCGTCCTCCGTGGAGTGGCCACGGCGGTAAGCGTATTGACATGCGCTCAGTAGACGGTTGTCATACAAATAATCACTCAACTGGGTGCACACTACACGCTCAGCGATTTTAGACATGACAGGCAGTAAAGAGATAGGCCGGTAATTACCAGCTACACCACGGTCGCCAGCCTTATGAATGGGGACCACACAAGCTATTTTCCAGCTATCAGGAAACACACCAGTCACAATCGACTTATTAATCACATGAAGCAGCAATGGTCCAATGACGGCGAAGCAGCGACGCACAGCTAAAATTGGCACACCATCCATACCAACAGCCCTGGAGCTACTCATGTGACGCACGGCTGTTGAGAGCTCCGGCAGAGTGATAGGCGTCAGCTCAAAACCGGTGGCGCATACTACTGGGGGACGATCGTCAGTCCCCTCAGCCTGACCAGTAGACTGCAATTCAGATGCAATTTTGGCGCCGACATTAGCAAAGAAATCATTAAAATTGTCAGCTTGAGCGACATCAAGAGCTAATGACGTAGGAGCGCCATCACCAGCCGATGCATTCTTGGCAAGCTATGAGGCACATCCTCATAGCCATCCAAAGCCGCTGACCACGCAAGCTTGCCAGCACGTTTACCAGCTGCAGGCGTTCGTGACAACAAGCGGGGTTGCACGCAAGGTTATCCGTTTAGTAGGTGCCAGCCGGGGCCTCGTCAGCCGAGCTAATAGCGAAATGACCTAATTGAGGGACACGCTAAAAACTGGCCGAGAACAAGCCAACGGCGGGTAACACTGTGAGGCTGTGCGTAGTTCATTAACACTGCGCAAAATTAGGTTCCTGAACATGTTCTCGCTCGTAGGCATTTGTTCCACAAGCGGCATTGTTAACGTGCATGGCTCTGACTACTAATGTCCATATATGGTGTAACGAGGAGCAAGGGAGGCACTCGTAAAAAATGCCTAATTTCAAAATTAGCTAGTGAATATTTTTTACAGTGCAGGGTCAGTGGTGGGGAACACCATATCACAGACAGACAGGGTCAGTGGTGGGAACACCATATCACAGACCGGGTCAGTGGTGGGGAACACCATATCACTGACAGGGTCAGTGGTGGGAACACCATATCACAGACAGGGTCAGTGCAGTGGTGGGGATTACTGTATGCCTGGCCTATTCAAATACATTAGCCAGAGGGGTGTGGTAATAACTGGTGTAAGCAAAGTGACCACGGTCAAAAACGAATTACCAAGTCAACATTTTGGGATGGCCTCGTTCAAAAAACGGCTAAGAGCTTCGGTCTAGACAATTATTTTATCGTTGGCATACAGTAAAATACATACCAAACTCGGCCGGTGATAAATTTTCAAGACCTCAGTCCTTACTGATTTTTGAACTCGGCCTTCGGCCTCGTTCAAAAATTCAGTAAGGACCTCGGTCTTGAAAATTTATTTACACCGGCCTCGTTCAGTATTATATAACACCATCTCACAGACCGGGTCAGTGGTGGGAACACCACATCACAGACAGGGTCAGTGGTGGGAACACCATATCACAGACAGACAGGGTCAGTGGTGGGGAACACCATATCACAGACAGACAGGGTCAGTGGTGGGAACACCATATCACAGACCGGGTCAGTGGTGGGGAACACCATATCACTGACAGGGTCAGTGGTGGGAACACCATATCACAGACAGGGTCAGTGCAGTGGTGGGGAACACCATCTCACAGACAGGGTCAGTGGTGGGGACACCATATCACAGACAGGGTCAGTGGTGGGAACACCATATCACATATCACAGACAGGGTCAGTGGTGGGTAATATCGCTATGAAGATGCGTGTTTTACATGCATTATAGTAATACGGGAACACTTTTTGAAAAGTGCCTACGTCCGTGAATAGAAAAAGGTGGTCACAAAATGTTGAAATAGGAACGTTGGACCTGGTCACTAAGCGCTCACCAATTTTCTTGCTGAATGACGAGAAGCTGTATGACTGTCCAAGACTGACGGTTTTTGATACATGGGTTTATTTTTCAGATGTTGCCGTCTCCGCCGTCGACTTACTCCGGCAGCTCCGGCCAGCGGAGCGACTCCTGGAGGTCCTCCCCACAGACTCCGTCACCATGGCAACCGTCCGCCGGCAGCCCCCCTCAGTCGCCGCCGGAGGGGGGTTGGCGGGCTCGACAGTCCCCCTCAGGGTCCCCTGATTGGAACGCCAGACACCAGCCCCGACAGACGTCCGAACAGCCAGCGTTTCCATGGCAACACAACGCCCCGCAGGAGCCGCCCTGGGCGGGTCATAATCGACGAGCGAACACTTTAGCAGATCACCGCTACGGCTCTGGCTTTGGACGACGGCCAACGCTGACTTCTTATCAAAGCCAGAGCGCCACACTGCCTGCGGCCCAGCCGCGACCCGCAGCCCCCTGGGACTTCTCGGAGAGGCAGAACGTGCATTCGCCTGGCTCGGTGAGAAGTTCGCCGGGCGGCCCGCAGGTGGCAGCACCGTCTGGCCACTGGGCGGCGCCACTGTCGCCCAGCGGTTCAGTGTCCAGCGTGGACTGGAATCAGCTGTTTGATACCAGCAGTGAGCAGTCGAGGTGAGGACCGGCGGTGGTAGATATGTCAATCGGATACCAACTTTTTGATATGCCGATACCAAACCGATACCAACTCGGTATTTGGTATTTCAATCCTAATGTGTTTGGTATTTTGTTGGTATCATGAACCCTCGCTAATGTTTAAGAGGCTAAGAAGTCGGTAAAAGGTCGGTATTTTCCTCATGTTCCCAAGTTGGTTTGTTTTCGCTATTTTTCCACGGTTTTGGTTGGTATTTGGTTTGGTATCGGTATTCCGATTTTCCGTAATTGACATCACTAGGCGGTGGGATTTTGGACTGGCTTCCGCTGGGGCCGACATGCCAAAACAGCAAGCCCTGACGTACCTATTTTATTTTCTTGAGTGGTCCTTGAATCCTGAACGGATAGCCGGTTGCGGTATGCCTACATAATCAGCAGACGCCTTTGTGACGTTTTTTGTGTGTGAGGATACCTAGTTGAAATCAGCCATCTTTGTGTCCAACAATCAGCAATACAGCAATCAGCCAATCAGTACATCAATAGAAGCAAAGGCCAATAGATGCTTTCCATAATATTGAACAAATATTTTGCGGAATCCTGCACTGAAAAACAAAATGATTCTCTGGATGCCCTGATCATGGGAATTTATACCCGTATGATTCCCTTTCCGCTTTTCCATGATACCCATGATGCGATCTATTCGATAGATTATTATTTGGTAAGCTAACCCTTCCTCCCCACTCCGGCGCTCTCACCCCGTCTGTCCTAGAGATGTCAATCGGATACCAACTTTTTGGTATACCGATACCGAACCGATTCCAACCTGGTATTTGGTATTTCAAGGCGAGTGCATTTGGTATTTGTTTGGTATTGTGAATCCTCACTGATGTAAAACAGGCTGAGAACTTGGTAAAAAGTTGGCATTTTCCTCACATTTCCTAGTCGGTTTGGTTTCGGTATTTTTCCATGGATATTGTTGGTATTTGGTTTGGTATTTTTTTTTTGTTGTTGTTGGGTTAGACCCTTTCGGTCCAATGATACCATTTCGGAGCCGGGAGGATGATAGGATATAGGGGTAGACATTGGTCTGGGCAGGTATCCTAGTGAGTCGCCGGGGCTGAGCCCGTCCAGAGGACAGGCCACCCAGCCCCAAGGCACTCACTGCACCCAGCTACGGGGTGCGCTCCCTCGGGAGCAGCGGTGCCGCTCCAAGGGAGCAGCCCGCATGGGATAAAGTTGCCTGTCCAGCCCGGATGGGGTTGCGGCGTGGAGGAGAAGGACTTCAGTATCCTGAGGATAGAAGCACGGAACGGTGGTTTGGTATCGGTATCACGATTTTCCGTAATTGACACCACTAGTCTGTCCGTTCCAGCTGTATGGAGGACGAGCCCAGCTCCGTCTCCAGTGACTGGGGCCGCCCGCTCTCCCGAGAGGAGGTCGTGCGGTGGTACCAGCAGACGCAGCTGCCGCGAGGGGTCGGCGTGGACGCGCTCACCGGCCGGGCGGCCGCCTGGTTCCACGGTGAGAGGAGGGAGAGAGAGAGAGAGAGAGAGAGAGAGAGAGAGAGAGAGAGAGAGAGGGGGGAGAGAGAGAGAGAGAGAGAGAGGGAGGGAGGGAGGGAGGGAGGGAGAGGGAGGGAGAGAGAGAGAGAGAGAGAGAGAGAGAGAGAGAGAGAGAGAGAGAGAGAGAGAGAGAGAGAGAAAAAAAGCTCATCAAGAACGTTCCGCACTGATTTTTATCAGACGATTGGCTACATCACGCTAATAATGTCTTCCAACGAACATTATAAGTAATTTATTCAACAGTCGGCGTTCTGTAGGCTAGTTCACGCCATATCCCCAGGCACCCCAGTCACTGCCACGCACCGACAATTGTTTTGACATGTTTGTCTGTTTGTCGTCACTAACATACAAACAGATAGTGCGACATGGACATTTGACAAACATCTGGTCTAACATGACAAACAGGTGGTCTGACATGACAGACCTGCCCATCGAGGTTCAATGCCGTTTTTGTCAGCCGTTTTTCTGTTGCTAACCGGTCGGCTTCCTGCCGCGGTTTTATACCCAGTGACGTCACCAGGTTTTGTCCGGTCTGGCGGACGCCGGGCCGGCAGGTTATTGTGTGATCACACATAGCGCTCGTGTACAGTGACTCGGAGTTATGGTAATGTGATACATGTGATCGACTCGAGTAGGTCGCCGCGGGCCGGCGTGGTTAGAAACAGCGAACGATGGGCCCTGCGTTTTGTTGTCAGGTGTGTGATACTTTTTTTAACGGTATTACAACTGCAAAACTAACGCCTAAACCAAACAAACATTTTATTGTTTCTGATTCGATTCAATTTCTATGTTACTGGTTTTCGATCATTGTAGCAATTAACTTTTGTCATTTGAAATGCACTTTTCGTAAGCCAAAGTCCCATGGATCTATCACAATAACTTGATGTCTCACTCTGAGCTAAATATACCTTTACTGGCCTATCAAATCACAGCAGTGACGGTAGCCCAGGACCGTCTGGTCAGTCGGTGGAAAGGACGCGTTTTCCCGGAACGATTTCGCACGGTGAGACAAGGGCCATCGAGCTGTGTTTGACCACACAGCGACAACTGTCGGTCCATTGTGCGCCTGGTGATGTCACTGGTCCACACCATAATGCTGGTGTGGTCCAACATTAGATCATCTGTAATTATTGGGATATTTCTGACAGCACAGAGTATGTGATGTTGGTAGAAAAGTGACCATCTTACAATGAAGAAGCCAGCGAATAGACTCAAGCGTGTTCGAAACTGAGCTGAATACCGGGCTTCTCACAAAAGTCGGACCAATTTATTTTGCAGATAGTGGACTGGAAACAATATTTAAACGAAACAAATGCACGTGAAAAGAAAGCATATTTTTTAGGAGATTTGTATGATACCATACTTGTTGAGTTAAAAAAAAAATGACACTGTGGTCTTAAGACGCAAAGCACACTCAAAGAAATTCTACTTTCAGTAAGTCGGTCGTTTCAACACAACAGAACTCCCGCAATCTTTTTTTGCAAAGCGAACACCATCTTGAAATGCTATATTCCACATTGTTGAAAGTTTCTAGGCCGAGGAAAGGTTAACTGCTGGTTCTAAGAACATAGCGGCGGCCGCAAACCCAATCAAAAGCCCGGCGAACTCGCTCGTGTGAAGAGATGCGCTACCAAGGCTGTCAACGGTCAGCGATACCGGATGACCCTGACAAATTTTTTGAGTTCCTGCAGACCACAATGGGCAGCGATCCTAAAGCACTCAAAT